TTTGCAAAAACAGAACACATTGTGCTAACTGATAGTTTAACTAGTTTTTTAGCACTTTAATGCCACCAGAATTGACACTTCCATTTTGGTTTTTTTTTTCTTTCTTACACCAATTATGTATTTTTGATCAAACAGGAAGCAGAGATGTTGCGCTCAATTTCTTTTCACCCTTCTGGAGATTTCATACTTGTTGGTACCCAGCACCCTACTTTACGACTGTATGATATCAATACTTTCCAGTGTTTTGTGTCTTGCAATCCTCAAGATCAGCACACTGATGCTATATGTTCAGTAAATTACAACGCAAGTGCAAACATGTATGTGACAGGAAGTAAGGATGGATGCATCAAACTGTGGGATGGTGTTTCAAATCGCTGTATCACTACTTTTGAGAAGGCACATGATGGAGCTGAAGTCTGTTCTGCTATTTTTTCCAAAAATTCAAAGTACATCTTGTCAAGTGGAAAAGACTCTGTAGCTAAACTATGGGAGATATCCACTGGTCGAACACTGGTCAAATACACAGGTATGTGGCAGGTGACCTTCCAAGTACCTTCTTTTTCAGGTACCGACCCACGGCAGGGGTGGTAATGCTGTCAGAAGAATAGTAATTCTTAAAGGCAATGGCAGACTGCTGCTTTGAGGATAAATTGCCCCAAATTTTTGAAAACACTTACTGTAGACTAATTCCAGAAGAGAAGCTGTGATTCTTGTATGTCAGTCACTGTAAACGTATTTAGGCTGAGTAGATATTGGAGACTTTTCTGACATGATTACTTCATTGCTTTGGAGGGAAGTTACAACTAAATTAGGGAAAAGTAAAAGGGAACACTGCCCTAAGGATTAGGACATTTGTGCAGAGGGTTTTGTTCTCTAGTTCTAATTCGGTGTGTTTTAGAAACAGTGATTATTAAAACAAAACAGCATCATCTCTTTTCTTATTAGTGATCATTTTGATTTTGTGACTTCTCTATTTATTGCTAGACTAGGGACACAGTTTAAACTGGAAGGGTCAAAACCAACACCAAATGCATTTCTGGCCAGAGTAGGCCACTTTCTTGCAGAGTACCCACCCAGACAGGGGGAACTGAACATACTTTGGGGCAGTTGTTTTAACCATTAGACTCTTGTGCAAAAGATGGCTCTAGTAAGCCATGGCAATATTCTGAAAAATAGCTACAGCTGGTTTGGGGGTTGTTTTTTTTGTTTGTTTGTTTTTTGTAAGGATGCAATTGTGTGCAAGGTAGTCATACTCAGAGCATGCTGACAATGCCGTGCTTTGATCTCAGCAGGACTTAAGAAATGGTGAAGGATGTAGAAGCTTTGCATATGATAGCAGCTGTGATGGGGGAAGTTTTCAGGTCTAAGCAGTAGTGTGCTTAAGCATTAGGAGTCATAGCATAAAAGAGGAGAGAATGTTGAAAATTTTGCATATCGGTTTTTGGGATGTGTACGGTCCTTTTTTGTATGCTAGCTCTATTTTGCTCTCAACCAGCAGGGTGCAGCACCTCCTCGATAAACTTTTGCACACACCTGCATCCTACCCGGTATTTCGCATTGCAAAGTAAATGACTATATGTGAAACACACATTTTTATTTGAAGGGTATGGAGGGAAGGTGTGGCCAAGGCAGGTCATACAATGTGCCTTATGATATATACCTTAAAACCAAAAGTTGCCATTGATAATGAGAATCTGTGTATTCTACTCTCTGTGGTCTTTCCCCTTGGTTACAGCTGTAAGGCTCATACAAAAAACAGAAGGCAAAAGTGCTCTTAAAGTTAAGTGATTGCAGTCATACTTAGTGGCTGGACTTGACTGACATGAAGTAGTTAATCTTTCTGTCCTCTAGAAATTTTAGAATATACCGTGTATATAACTACAAAAGAATATTCATTACTGATTAACCTCTTGTTATGTGGAAGTGGTAGACTAACTGAGAAAATAAGGCTCCTTCATAGACTGCAGAAATTGATACTTATGGGAGGTTTACTCTTAGGTCTTTGGAAACTTCCTAAAACTGATCCTATTTGGTTTAATATTTTGCTGCATATATTTAGGAGCTGGTTTGAGTGGACGACAAGTACACAGGACACAAGCTGTCTTCAACCACACGGAAGATTATGTGCTGCTTCCAGATGAAAGGACCATAAGTCTCTGCTGCTGGGATTCAAGAACTGCTGAACGGAGAAATCTTCTTTCTCTTGGGCATAACAGCATTGTCCGTTGTATTGTCCATTCTCCTACCAATCCTGGCTTCATGACCTGCAGTGATGACTACAGGGCTAGATTTTGGTACAGAAGGTCAACGACAGACTAAGGACAGCTTTATAAAACAGGGATTATCCAGATTCGTTATATCATCGTGTATTGATTGTACTGCCAACAGATGCCTAGATGAAAGCCGTGCTGTGTCTGTTCTTTAATTCTGTCAAACGTGGCAGAAAAATATCAAAATACTGAGACTTAAGTTGTGCCCCACGCTAATTTTTTTATTAGTGTGTGTGGCATTAATTTTTGTAAGTCATCTCTAATTGTACTCAAGGAGTGTGTGAGGGAGAATAAAATGATCCTTGCAAGAAGGATTAAACTTGTTCTCCTGTCTTTCTAAATCCCGCAAAAGTTACTGTGACTGTATCTTGCTCAAACTGGGCAGTATGAGCCAGTTTTGCTCTGCATTGTATCTGTGCAATCCCACTGAAGTCTGTTTAAAGAATGGATTACACAAGTAACAGCAGAACTTGGCAAATATTTTAATGAAGCCTTAAGCTGCCTTCAGTTCTGATTCATTCTTTGTAAAGCTCTGTTTTGTATCTTTTAGTCTGGGGTTTTTTTGGTGGATTTTTTTTTCTTTTTTCCTAATTAGCCAAGTGGACCTTCAATTCTGAGCCAGTCTTGTGCCATAAGAATTTGAAACAGAATTTTAAATTGTTTGAATGAATTCTTGAAATGGTGTTCTAGTTCTGGTATTAAAGCTCAGGCTTGAAATCTCTTCTTCTTTTGAATTTATCTTAACATGTGGAACTTCAAAGTAAATTCATAGTATTTTCAAGGAATATCCACATTGCAGTTGTAAAATATGACAGTGCTGCAGCATGTGAAAATGACAATAATTTTGCCATAGAGACCTTTAGTATCTTCTCAAAGACAGAAACTGTTGTGCATATTAATTTTTGTATAAGTACCTCAGAAATGTCACTTGGCTTCATTTCATTGAGAAATTTTCATTCTATGTCAGTTACGCAGCACTTGAATTACATTCTTTTTTTTTTTTAATTATTCAAAAACCCAGACTCACTGTTTCTTTTCCCCATTATCTCTAATAGTCTGGTTTTCCCAGACCTCATCCTATTGAACAGAAGTACAGATGATTAAGAAACTGTGCTTTTAACCCTTCTTTAACTTTGAAAATCCACTACTTATTTTTACAGATGGTTGCCTGTGCAAAGTTTTAAATGTGTTCATTCAAGCATCCTTGTACAGTGCTCTTGGACTTCACATTTGTGAGGCTTCCTTTAGTCAATATTTCAGCACTTGCTTTCATGAGGATTTTTAAATGTAAGATTGTTCTTACTGCTGGATTAACTTTCCATTACCACTGATGAAGTGTCTTGTCAAGGGCTGATGAGGGTACAGGTTTTCTCTGTATTTAAATAAAGATTACCTTTTTAAAAGTTATTTAATATATAAAGAAGGAAATGTATTAGTTTTCTTTTCTATATAACAAAGGAAAAATGAATATTGGAAGGCTGTATCTTTGGGGACATGTTAAAGCTTGATGGATTTGTTTGTTGTGTTACATCTGAATTGGATACAACTATAGATTTACAGTATAGAATGTGGGATGTTTTTTTAAAAGAGGTAGAGAATGAAATTTAATTTTCTCTTAAAAGCTACTGCTATGCAAAATATTTCTTGGCTTAGCAATCCTCTTTGCCCCTCCTCTGCCTCCCTTCAAGTTTCTAAAACTTTAGAAACATGGAGGCATGAGATAGCAGTTCTGGTGCCTTTTTTGGTGGAGAAACAAGGAGAACCAGAGCTTGGTGGGAGGCAAAAGGGAAGTCCTGACACGCAGTTATTAATGTGTGCTGTACTTGCTCAGCAACAACAGTCCTCTGCTGTTGCAGCCAGCCTGCTAAATGGATAGCAGTAGCAATTTTTTTTTGAGTGCTGCGTTTGTTCCAGTTCTGTTAAAGAAGCTGTCCATAAGTAACACATTTGCTACTGGTGTTTGGACTCTTCTATTTCTAAAACGCTATTTTGGTGTTTATGTATTAAACCGCTGCTGTGGTTGATAAGTTTGCAGCATGCTAGCCTTCACCTCAAGCTTCCTTAATTCTGTGGTCTTAACTTGCAGTGTAGAAATAGAGTTTTATTCTGATAACACAAAAACATCCTGACATTGGGACCTTTCTTTCTTTTCATGTTGCTTGAGGCCAGAAGTTTGGAGTTTTTCTGTTCAAAAAATAAGGGCTGGAAGAAACTTAACTCATGCTATTTAGGTAGATGACGCAACCCCAGAGTGAAATAGTTCAGTACTACACCATCCCAGTGGTACTCTGGTAGGTGAAGGTGGTTGATGGGGGATGAGAATGAGAGGGGGCAAGGCTGCTATAGAGCATTCAGAGCAAGCACGCGAGGAAGTACAGCAGAGAGGAGCCGTAGCTGCATCTTGAGGAACGATGTTGTGCGCACACATAGTCATCCTGTTAGATTTGCATTTGATTGAAGGGGAATACGTCTTTTCACTGTGCAGGTCTGGAAGAATCTAAACTAAACTTTCTCCATGTGATCATGCTTACTACTACAGTCAGAGAAACTTCACACCTAGAAGCTGTATTCAATCAATTAAAATTCCAGTGCAGCCGCTTGCCCTTCACAAGTTTTGCAGTCTGTACTTCTTGGTAGCTACATCCCAGTGAGCTGCTCCACTCAGAGAAGCACTGTCATACTCAGGATTTATCACCTCCTCAAGAAAGTCTCCATCACCTAAAGGTCTGGCATGTAACCTGCTCCCGCCTCTCCTCGGAAGAAGCCAACATGGAAATGTGGCAAGGCGATGCCAGAGCTAACGCATTAGGCCAACAAGCCATGCCGACGTGAAAGCAAAGCACAGTTATGGGTTCGTATCTTCTGGCCTTCAGCGTTCCTTGGCACGCTGAGTTGGCAGTAATTGGTGCTAGGGAAAGTCTTTCCTAAAAGGCCATTTCTGGAATGAGGCTTGTTTGCCACCCATTGGAACAGATTTCAAACTTTCTCCTTCAGAGGGTGTACTGGTCTGGGATAAATATTTCCTGGACACACAGGCTGTCTTTCCACCAGAGCTGCCCTGTGAGACTGAATCCCAGGAAACACTGAAGTGCAATAAAGGAAAAGTAGTTTTGAAGTTCAGGTTAGGAAATTCTCTGTGTGGCTGTAAGGGACCCTTCAAACATGCTGCAGCACAACTGCTCTACTCATTAGGTAGGATATTGCAGGACAGGAGCCGAAGCCCACGCATTTCCTTGCGTACACGTTTAAGCCTTGGTGCAGCCAGGAGGAGTCTTTCACACAGCATCCACCCCCAGGTGTGGATGGTAATACATAAGGTTTTTGCAAAGCCCCTTTATAACCAAAAATTGTATTGGTGCCTTAAAAGTTGAGACAACTTTGAAAGGTGTGAAAAATGTTGGCTTCAAAATCCCGAACTGATATGATTGTGGCAGTCTTATTTCTATCAAGCCTTGTGCAGCCCCTTGTGGTACGTAGTATTCTTGTATTCATTACATTTCTAAAAGAGGAAATACAGGAACACGTAGCAAAACAGAAGGGTGAGACTTCTGACTGCGGTTAATTGCGACAAGTTGGTGACAGAGAGATCAAGGAAAATTCCACTTGCAGACAGACTTTTTTTCTCACTTTCATACGCTAACAGGGTTTTTCTGTTTTGCACTCTGTTCTTTCTAATTTTATCTGTTGTCACAGAAATTATCGTTCCTGAGAATCTTTTCTACAAAATCCTAAATGCTTTTAGGGGTAGAGCAAAGCTGAAGTCTCTTCATCGTGCCGTAACTACCTGTATTGCTCAAAGTGACGCTGCTGGTGAATGACAACAATGGATAAAAACATAAGAGTCAACAGATCTGCAAAGGTATGTCTGTTTTTTTGAGAACAGCATATAAACAATTAAGAAAAAAGGGTCCTAGAGTAGGGTTTGATGGTTGAATTCAGCCTGATGCTTGGTGATGTTGGAAATGTTTGGTATTCTTGAGGTGGATGGAAGTCGTCTTATGATGCTTATGTACCTAATGTCTCCCTGCGCTTTTTGTTGCGACAAAACTATTAACTGGAAGAAATGTTGTCTTGGGGAGGACTCTGAATAAGGCAGAATTCCCAAATAACAAATAAAAAATATGTAACTTCGAGGTTCCACCTGTCTTACTGCTATCCTGTAGTAACATTAGAGACATGGTTATATTGTCTGAGACTTTCAGTGATAGTCCAGGTGACCTGTTGCATGATAGATAATTTCCCTACATTACACACAAAACAAAAGAAATTCTGAAGGACTATATTTGTTTCTTTTGAAAGACTGGAACTAATCTATAAGGTTTTTTACACTTTTTTTTTTTATTCATATTGTATCTAGTGTAATTTTATATATATACATAGAGAAAATAACCTGCTGTAGCTGTAAGAGTTAGAGAATGCTGAAGTCTTGATTCAAAGTCAGTGCCTTGATTGTCCTACTGTCTGCAAGTGTAATAAGCAGTGTAAGGGAATTATTATTTTCATCCAGGGTAATGATCTCAGTGTTTACTGTAAATAAACTGCGTCCTGGAAATCTGATACAAGATATAGTGGGGGAAAAAACCTTAGTATTAGCTCGATGAGTCACCCTTTTGCACTCAAAATTTTCTATTGAGGCATGGAAAGATGACTATTTTTCACATTAAGTCATCAGAAATTGATGCAGGACATTTTCAATTTCTATATAGAGAAGAGAGTTTCTATTTCTAGGTATGATATTTTCAGTTTTCTTAAATGGATTGCCAATAGCTAAATAAATGTAGTGGTAGCAAGTTGATTTCCCGTTCTGCTGTGAGATCTTTAGACACATCCATAGCATGCCCAGTCAAATTCAGCTGAGTAACAACTGAAGGTCAAATTTATTTCTGCTATATAATTTATGAACTGTTTATAAGGTTCCTACTACCCTGGCAGTACTGTTTATTACAGTATTTGAACGTTATACTTAATACAAAAATACCAAGGACGTGGTTTTTCTACCATCATCTGGACTTCTTGAAGCACCATGTGCCAACCATCAGTAGCTTTACTGTGACAGGTAACGCTTTGCAATTATCACTGTGCCACAATTATTCTACCTTCACAAGGAAAACCATTTCTGAAAATGAATTCAGTATAGGAGTGCAGCCAAAGAGATGATGTCACTTCTTTCTTGTTGCATATACACCTGCAGCATAGTCTGCGCAGGAAACATTGCACGTCTTGGTGCAATCTAAAACACAGTTACCATGACAGGCTGCGCTTGGGAAATAGTTCTCGTACTGTTTGATAACATTTTCTGTGCTGTTGCCAAAGAAAAAATAGGAGCGTTTTTTAAACACCCATTAAGCTGATCTGAAGTTTGTCTCTCCTTCCAAAATGCCCAGTTCACATATTCCCATCTTGTCCACAAACAAGTGCGTGGAGAACGACTCGAGATTTGTTTCTGTGAGCTCCTCTGCACCTGGGGATGCCTGCACCTACAGCCCTGTGGCTCCAGGGTGCCTGCTGTCACCGCCCAGTCTCCTTCTCAAACACTCTGGGAGCAAACAGTGGGTTTCAAAATAGCATTTGCCAGAGCTAATATATTGAGCAAGGAGTTACTTGAACAGCCAAGCAGAAATACTGGAGAGAACGATGAAGTCTCCATTTTCCTGGGCCTCAGACAGTAACTGTGGGGCTATTCTCAGGGATACGGTTGGGTGGAAGTGGACTCGATGCCCAGCTTTCCTTGGGAAATCTTAAGAGGTAAAACTTTAGTTCTGTCATGCACAAAATGGTCTTGACCCAGGGAATTTTCACCTCAAGTAATTTATTGCCAGTTAACACAAACTTTTAATCACTAGTTCGGGTGATTGCAAAAAAATAAACCATGAACAATTAAGCAAGCACTTAAGTAAACAACTTTCCTCCCCCTTCCTATTCTCAAGTTGTCTTATTTTTGTGGGGGGTACACTTAGTCCGCCCCAGTTCCTTCAAGGAGGTGACGGCAGCACAGGAGGTTGGGGCTGGGGGAAAAGCTCTCTGGCTGCCGCTGCTGTTCCTCTGTGATTATTGCCCCTTTTCCCCCACTTTTCTGTGCCTCTGTCCTTGCCCCGGCGTGGGACACCCACGGCCACAGCCCCTTGGGGGGGTCCTTGCCCCAGCGTGGTTCACCCAGGGTCTGTGGAGGGTGTCCCTGCCCCGGCATGGCAGGGATCCTGTCTGGGATTAATTCAAGAGAACATTTAATTGTATTTGAAAGTAGCTTCATGGCCACAAGTTGTGGCTTTGTTACTTGTATTTCTGGATCATTTCAAATGCTGGTAGCACCTGAAAAATTCCAGGGTAGTAAGTGAACGGCTGTTCTCTATCTTCTGCGTGGAGTGTTGAAACTAGTAAAACTGCTGGTTGAAGAGAAGAGAGAAAAGAGAAGAGAAGAGAAGAGAAGAGAAGAGAAGAGAAGAGAAGAGAAGAGAAGAGAAGAGAAGAGAAGAGAAGAGAAGAGAAGAGAAAAAAGAAAAACCCTGCAGGCATTCAAATGAACTGCTTTGTGCCAGGAATTCTTTCTCATTTGTACAACTGCATTAGCTGCTTGTCTGCTCTGAGTCCCAGCCCAAAGATGTAGATTTTGTTGAGAAAGCATTTTCAATTCAGCATTTCTATTCAAGACGCATTGCTTTTCTAGTTCCGTGATTGTGGGTTTGGGAGCGAGTGTCTAATTTCATCTTGAAGCTACTGTGGAAAGAGGAAGGAAAAGGCTTTTGCCAGAGAAAAGGCAGCATGTACAAAGGCAAAACCAGTAGAAGTTTGCAAACCCCAAGATGCTCACAAGTACAAAGCTGTAAAACCTGCGCGTTTGCATAAGTGTAACCTGGGCAGAGCTGGTGCTGAGCAAATAGCAACTATGAATAATGCTAAATAACACTGTTGTTAAATAATATTAAAGAATTTTTAAAAATAATCAAAGACACAAAACCCTTCAGCTGCAGTTAATGTTTAGCTTTCCTCCTCAGGTTTTCTAGCTCAGAAGAGTGAGATTATTTTGCAGGGATTTCTGTAACTACAAAGGAGATCAGTTTTCTAGAGACCTGAACATGAAAATTTCAAAGAGTATCAAACCACTTTTTAAGTACGAAAAAAAAAAAATCAGGAGTAGAAAATGACGCTGCAAAAGGTGCAAAACCGCTTCAAAATCCAACCCTTGCTTTCTGGCTCAGCCCCGCTGCCCTGTGTTTTCCTAAGATGCAGTTGCAAAGCAGAAAAGGCATTTCCCCAGGGGTGTCTGCCGGAGGGACATCTGTGTGTCCTGCTCCAGGCCCTCATTAGCATCAGCAGCTGCAGGCCAATTGCACCGTGGAGATAATTTTGCTACGTAATTAGCTCCCTTCGTTCCCAATAGCTGTTCCCCTTTGGGGCTCCCCCTGAATACAGCAGGAGGGGTAAGGAGGCTGGGCGTTTGCTCTTCAGGCTTCCAGCCAGACCCTCCAGTGCTCTGCCTGATCCACTGGGCTGGGTGAGATCTCATCCTCCTCCTTAGGTGATGGAGTAACAGGGAAATAGGAGACAACAAAATGAAGGTCAATGTAAGTACTAGATTATTTTATTTCTGTTGCAGTTAATTTAATGGCTCCACTTATTTCATTTGTAGTGGAAGCGTATGTAGTGTAAAATCTGTATCTGGCAGAATCCCTTTTCAAAGCGTGCTGTTGATCTCATTTGCACATTATTAACAGAGCACACGGTCTTAATTTTTAAAATACAATCCAAGTTAAGCTGAAAAAAATGTGTTATCAAGAACAACAGTATGGTTAAGAAGGGTAAGGTTTTGTACCATCCATATGAGGCAATAGTATGCCTTATTAAAAAAGTTACCATGAATAACCCTGCCTGGCCATTAGGATACCCATTGCTTTACATATTTTCTTGGAAATAATGAGCTAAATGATTAACCCTTGAGCCATACATTATCTCGGAAAAGATTATGGGTTTTGCACTGATTACTAGAAAATTAGTAATGGAAATGTTTTAACAACTTGAGTCACTCTTTGATGAAGAAAATGTTGAGTAATTGCGAGTTATGTGAGCCTGGGAAAGCCTGCACTCTAGGATAACAATTGACCACGTCCTGCAGGGCTTTTTGCAGAAAGAACCGAAGCTCAAAAGAGGAAAGGAGTGGTGGCAGTGTTCATTTTTAGGAAATACTGCTCTGCTCTGGGAGGACAGGGGAATAAGTGGCTGGATCGAATCCGTTTTATAGTCATATGTTGATGTTTTGCCCAGACTTCCAGCACAGTGCGCATGCAGACACTTAGCATTAGCTTGCTTTGTGCTAAGCAGGATTTCGTTTTGGCTGTGAAACTAACTGAATCATTCAGCCTGACATTACAGCTGATTTCTGGCAGCTGTGACTCTGGGCAGGGTCTGCCTGGTCACCATGTGCCCTGTGGTAATGATGGGGGACAGGCGATGTACAGCTGTCGCATGGGAGCAGTGATGCAGGCTGGTGATTAGGGCAGGTGAAAAATCATCCACTTTTTTTCCCCAGAAAAATACTCACATTTCGGATAAACGCAACTTTGTCCAAAAGGGTGGTCTTAAAAAAAGAATTAATGTTTTGGGGCAGATAACTGCAATGAGAGAGCTGGAGGAAGCAGCAGCCTTTGGGAGTTGTGGTGTTGCTGCCGATTCATTATGAATCGGAGAACACCCTGAGCCTCTGCCTTTTCGGTTGCTGTCACTTCTGCCACATCCAGGGAATCAGCAGAAACTCTGGCACAGGTCAGATGGGATGCAGGGAGAGCATCCCGTCACGCTTGTGCACCCAGGAGGAAGACTATGTAGCAGCCCCTGGAAATGAAAAATTTGTAATTTGCTCCTGGC